CCAAATCATCGGAGATCGCTATTCTCACCCGCACACCGCTGCCATTTACCTTGCTAGCCGCAATCTTAAAATGTGCCCTCTCCCGTTCTCGCGGGGCTCGAGATCTTCCGAGAGCTTCCCGCAAGCTCTCCCCAAGGCCGCAAGCGCGCAACGCAAAATCCCCAGCGTTGCGTGCGTACGCAATACGCTAGCTCTTCCATAGCGTCCTGCGCACGCGCACTCCCGACCCGCAATTTCTTTGCTTACGCAAAGCTTTAGTGCGTGATTCACCAAAGCTGTCTAGCATATAACTTGTGTATTGCGTACACGAATGAACTCAAGCTCTGTGTGTTTGCGTAGCGTTGTGTGCTTCACACTGCTCGTGTGAGGAGCCCAGGCTGCAGTCTTAGATTGGCGCATGGTGACGACGCGCATGCGCCGCGTGGAGTACGCACCGCTGACGCAAAGCCACAGCGCGTGCGTTTGCTCTTATGCAGAATACTAACACTCTTTGTTTCCTGTTTTTGTGTGCGTCTGTGGGGGATCGGTGGCCGAGTGGGCTGAAGCGCACACCCAGCTCGACGCGCGTGGAGCGAAAGCTCGCGCCGCAGAACCCAGGGATCCTGAGTTCGAGCTCCACCCCTGCCCGTTTCGATCTGGATGAGCATCGTACCGGCGTGCGGTCGTGTATCACTACTGCGTGGTGCACGTTAAAGACCCCAGGCTAGCGGTTGTACTGCACTGGCTAAATTGCTCATCTACAGCGTGTGACTCGTCGCAACTTTGATGGCAGACCAACTACACGCTGTATAAATATCCCCACAAGCCAATTATTATTGTGTGCGTCTGCACCTCCACGCCAGATATGTATACACGTTACTGAAAAAGTAACTGAATATATTTAGGCATTTCCCGCTTGGAAGAACTTAAGTACTTCACTCGGTACTGGGATAAAAAAACGGAAAAAGATAAGCAACTTCAGCTGCGTAATAACGGGCGAGTTTATCATTGCTTTCATGGTGTGCTTTTCGTTTAGCGGTAGCAGTCTTTCAGTATTTTGTGTAGCTAAAAATGCCTAGCACTTTAACGCATTTATGGGCATATCTTTATTTTTTTGTTAGCGCATTTCTGTCGTGAAAGTCAGAGATGTGAGATGGGAAAAAACGGAAATAATGCAACTTGTTTCGTACACTGTCCTCTCAAAAAGTAACAAAACACGGTTACTCATTACTGTATCAAAAAGTGATAAATTATTTCCCCGCTCATTCTCTCGAAGGAAGAAAAAAGCGACAATTGAAAACAAGCGTGTTGGTTAACAGATTAGAAAACTCGAAAGTATAAAACAGCGAGGACGAGGACGGAAACAGGACAACTTTCATTCATCTTTTATCTTTCATGAAAGATGTCCTGCTCCCGTCCTCGTCCTCGCTGTTTTATGCTTTCAAGTTTTTGTAAAAAAGTGACTAGACAGAAATACGAACAAGACTTGTTCGCGCCCACAACCAGTTCGGTTACCAGGCGAAATTAATGTAAAAAAATCGACACCAAGTTTTTCTGGAAATGAAACAAATACACGCCCATCTCCCACAAGAAATCGGACCCAGAACCTCTCGTTCCTGAGGCTGATGCTGTACCTGTGCGGCTGCTAGAATTTTTAGAGCGCAGCTCTTAGGGGCCCGTTTCCAGCCTGAGCGGCGTCGGCGTCGGCGTCGGCGTAACCGGGGGGGGGGGGGGGGGTCACGGAACCCCCCCTCCCCCCCGAAGTCACGTGACTACCCGCAGGTGACGTGACCCCCCTCAGTACCCTTCCCTACTCCTCAAGAGCTGCGCTCCAATTCGGCGTTACAGGGATTTGTAAACGGCTTTCATTTTTTCTTCTATTCCATATGATAAAACAAAATTTATCGAATTTAAAAATACACGGTACAATCAACTGTACAGAGTACTAAAGCTCGCGCATTTCGAGAACATGTTTTTCCAAATGCCCGTTCGCTCCTGCTGAAGCTCGTTATTTCATAAATGCACTTTGAGAATGTCACAAGACTGGAAAACATTGTGCAGAATTTTCGCATTAAGATGGGCAGGTCGGACCCTCATGCACGACCTCCAAGTGCTGCGCAAATATGACAAAACTAGGATATCGTTAAGGCACTCTCTTGCCTCTAGAAATCACCTAGAAATGTCTTCCAGATATGGTTACAGCCAGCTCCGCACCAGCTGAAGGACTTCATTGTTTTGCTTTATTGCATTAACTATTGACAGTAACCATTATATTGAGAGCAAAACAATGAGCGAATGTGCTTCAGCTTCTTGTTGTTAGCTATCCGTCATGTTAATATTATTAATAATAATATAGGTAATAATATTATCGATAATATAATAATTGGTGTTTGCTCAGGTAACCGGCGGCCCCCCAAATAGGCAACAGCCCGTACCATGTACGCCGTCTAGTGATGGCTTTTAGTGAAAAAAATGTATGCAGGATGAGGACGGCATGGTGTTCTGAACGTTGCAATAACCGCTCTCCTAGTCTCTGTTGCTCGGTAGGGTTCAGGCAAGTCAGCTAGCAAACTAAGGTGACCATGGGCTGGCTATTCAATGGATGTTCGCGGTAGTAAATTGATGGTACGGTCGCTCACTTCGGAAAACTAGCGACTCCAGGAGGCAGCCCGGTCGAATCATACGGCTGCCACCATCAAGGTATCCACGTCCAGGGCTTGGAAGGCTGTGCCGCTGTCAACCTGTTATGTTTTTTGCCATCGCCGTCTCAAGGAAATCGTCCAGCTAGCACCATTTTGGCGCTTCTTTACTCAAATGATGAGGACTTCTGAGGCGTGCAACGATCTTGTAGAAATAATAGCACACTAACATTTTCCTGGCATCAGCGTTCCTGAAATTCATGCGGGACTTTCAAATACCGTTCAGTCCTATAAGAACGGAAGTATCAAACGGTACAAAATCGTCTTCCTCTATAGGTAAAAACAAATATCATGGACTGCACTACACAAATCTATTATTTTTAAGTTCGCTGCAGCACGTGCAAAAAGATAAACAGTATTCCAAATGTAAACAAAAGCGTATAAAATTTGTCACGTTTTTTTTTTTTTACAAAGCAAGCAGTTCACAGACAAAAAAAAAGACAAATATGCCTTTTGATTCTAGTTTTCGCTTCCCATGAAATGTAGGACTGTGGAATTTTTAGAGCTAATTGTGTTGCTGCCTTCTGTGATACACATATTTTTGTCACCTGGACGAGGTTCTACGTCCAGGGGGAAGATGTTTTCTCGAGGCCTCCCTCTATAGTTTGTTTCACGTTAAGTCCGACAGCAACCAATGCTGCGGTTTAATGAAGACAGTCAAGCGGTGACAAAAGTGCACCGTCACGGCTGTCGTCGTTTTCGCGGCTTCGCTATCACTATGGATCCTGGAATGCGTCTCCGACTGGTGTGTTTAGCGTCCTATCCCGCCCATACATCAAGGGTAGTCTCGAAGCGACAACAAATGACATCACAAAAAACGAAACGTCATGCTGTCGGACGTCACGATCTTGGCGGTTGGCACTAGAGATACCGGCAAAAAGAGCACCAGCGAAGGCGAGAGTCGCTATCGTCGCGGCGTCTCAACTCCTGGCTCCCGAAGCTTCCGGGGACTGTCCAGCTGAAGAGCGACCCGCAGCAGAACGGGCATTTGCCACATCCACCGCAGCTGTTGGGACGCCGTCAGGATCGCGGCTCGCTACAGCATGACACGCTTATGACGTCATCCGGCGGAACTCGAGGGACATTTCTTGGGACGCGGTAAACATACCAGTTGGAGGCGCGTTTTATATTACCATACTATCACCCTCCAAACTACGCTGGTCGAAAACATTCACGCGCAGTGAATACGACGGGGTCCTGCGCATTTTTTCCCCGTGCTATTGATTTAGCATGATAGAAAAACCCTAAAAAACGAGCGCCGTGAAGATACACTTTGCGCTCGGCTTGATTTGTTTAATCATATAGTAACGTAGGCTCCGGTGGGCCCTAATGGGAATCAGAGTATACAGTTACCGCACATGCCCATAGTAGTGCACGGGGATGTTGTGGAGGAGTGTGAGGCCAATTAAGAAACATTATGCTATCCTTCACCTTATACAGGAAATTTTGATCTCTCCTAAATGAATGTAAGCGTTCGTTCCTCAAACACTTCATTCCATGCAATATAAGTACGTAATGAAAGTAGCTGCAAATACTTGAAAGCCACCTTTCAATCGATGACGTCAGAGGATCTCCCTAGCCTCTGGCGTCACCTCTATAACCTCGCTACGATCAATCCAATGATAAATTATAAAGCAAAAATGACCCGGTAACACGGTACACAAATAGTTTGCGCCTTCTCTACCTAATGTTTTACCTTTAGTGACACCATACGCCAACTTTCGTGTGAAAAATCGCTATTCAAAAATTTCTTGTCTCTACTTTTTTAAACAACGCTTATGATAATAAAAAAAAAACATTGTGAAGGGTATGTTCTAGAAGCAAACGTAAGCTTACATTTCCATATGTAGAAAAGAAATATAATAAAAGCTCTCTATCCTGTTCGCCATATCGGGGGGAAATCGTACTACCTTCTTGCGTTCGGCATTGAATAGAGTGGTCATTCTGTTCTGGAATGCTAATACCGGCGGATGATCATATACAACTCTATGTACTGATTGTTAGTTTTGTTTTAATACGTACAGATTGGTTTCCGTAAGAGTAAGTAAGAAATGGCCGTCCTCCTCATGCACAAAAGGTCAATAGCCTATTTAATACATATTTGAGGATATTTTAGAACCGTTCCACAAGGCCTGTTTTTTTCACAGAGAATTCAAGGGATTAGTGTTTGCATGTTACGTACCTGTACAAATTGGAGTTTAAAGTTGTTTTTCAAAGTCCTTGAAACTAGCCCTTGCCGACATGCGAACCCGATGTCTCGCATCCACATCTCACCAAGACTGCACTTAGGCCACAGAGCAAATTAATAAAAGGGTACGCAAGTGAATCTCCCATTTCTTTATTTCTTAATAGCACAAGGCGTAGAAAGCTCGCATGGGCCGGTTCGTGAGTCCGGCTTCTCTGTACGCAGGGCGAAGTGAACTCAGTACTGGATGGGCATGGCGGTCATGGGCTCCGGAGCAAGTGTGGATTGCACCTCAATTTTTCCGTGAAGAAGCTTCCTTATGCTTTGCTTGATCTCGTTCCTCAGCTCGCGAATCGTCTCCTGCATCTTCACCCACTTCTCTCCCGCAAGTTTCTGCACCTTCTCCAAGAAACTCTGCAGTTTCTTCCGGAGGGCAGCCAGGTTTTGAGAAACTTCTGAGAACATATCGTCAGAGAGGCCATATTGTGCCGACTGGGCAGGTCGGACTATCTCCAGCACCTTCTTTTTCATGGCACCAGCTGCTTCCCCGAGCTGTCCCTTGAGTTCTTTAAGTTGCTTCTTGAGCACTGTGGCACGCAGTCCGACAGCATCCTTCAGGTCTTGAATTTTTTGCGCAATTCTTTTGCCCAAGACCAGAAATTTCTCTTTCAGGGTCTTTGAAATATCCTTGAGGGTGTCGACGATGTAGGCCTCTTTATCTTCATCGGCATCGCTCGCTTGGTACAGAGCGGTCGTAGCATTGCTAGAACCCATGAGTTCTTGTATCCTCTTTTTGATTTCCTGCCGCGTTTCTTTGATGAGCTCTCTAAGCTTGTCTACTTTCTCACCAGTGACTTTCTTGATGTCTTTTAGAATTTTGTTCAGTTTTTCACGAAGATTTCTCAGCTTAGCGAAAATTTCCGTCGCGTGTTCACCGAATGACGCATACTGAGCAGGTTTAAATAATTCTTGCACCTTCTGTTTCATTGCTTCACGAGCATCCGCCACCTGCTCCATTAAAGTTTGTAATTCCCCTTTGATTTTATTTGCGTGCTCACCGCCAACCTTTTTTAGCTCAGCAAATTTCTCCTTCAAGTGTTCGACAAGAAGAAGGAACTTCTCCTTGAGAGACTTAGAGATGTCCTTAAGGGTTGCGATAACATAAGCCTCACTATCTTCAACATCGTCATCATCGATTACATAGTAAACTGCCGTTTGAGAATCGCTAGAGCCGTGAAGAAGTTCCTGCACCTTCATTTTGATCTGCTGCCTCAGCTGCTTGGCCAGCTCCTGCATTTGTCTCAATTTATCTGCGGTGACATCCTTCACGCCCTTCATAAACTCATTAAGTTTATCCCGGATCTCGACTATCTTTCCAAAAACTTCTATGGCATGTTCACCAAAAGACGCGTACTGGCCTTTGTCGAAAAAGCCCTGCACCTTTTTCCTAAGAGCCTGAACAGAGTCTTTCAACTGCTGCTTTAGATCATTGAGCTGGGACTTGATTTTTTGGGCCTGATCGCCGGCAGCTTGCTTGAGCTGATTCATCTTTTCCTTGATCTTGTCCCCAAGAATGATGAATTTCTCCTTGAGGGTCTTGGAGATGTCTCTGAGGGTGTCGATGACCGTGACTTGTGTATCATTGTCGCTTGGTGCATCTTGAAAGGGCTTAATCGTAATCAAATTGGCTTGGTCGAAGTCAAATTCCGTCACGCCTTCGCTTGCTTGCAGCCTAAGAAAATGCAAAAAATTAGACATAACAATAAGAAATCTTGAATTGGTGGCGGGTTTCTTAGACCTTAAAGTGAGGTTAGACACACTCACCTGCCACTGCAGACTGGTTTTGTTTTTGCATCATGAGGGAGGAAAAATAAATAGATGTCACTTTACTGCCCAAAGAAAACAATTTCCAAATCTTACCGTGCACTGCCATGGCCAGGAACGACACCGCAATGAAGAATTGAAGCCTCATCTGCAATTGTGTCCCAATAGTTATTTTTCGTTAAATTAGACACGTGGCGCAGTAAGCGGCGCGTTGGCGGGATAAGTATTTTCTTATACAAAAGTTGTGACTGCCTGCTGAGAATTAATTTCACAATCACTTATTATGATGATGTAAAATATAATGCCATTTATTTGACTTCTTTATTGTTTCTTGGCTACATTGAGAAAATATTGTTTTAGGAGTTACAGAAGCTTTATAGCAACTGTTATGAGAGAGTTGCTTTTGCGTAAGGTGGGGCCATTTGCCTTCCATACATGTTTCTCAATGCTGTAAAAGATACTGGTTAAAGCTAAGCTCCAGCCTTGATATGTTCTACAGCTGCAAGAGTTTTTTGTTTTCTTTTTATTGAAGAACTTTTACTTAACGCGTGTTAAATAAAATAACCCTTTCGGAATTCGCCTTACTCTCCACGGAACATCTATTTTTTTAGAGTCTCCTGCAAACGAGCAGCTCTCCCGTATAATGTTTAGCTAAAAACTTATTAGACAGTTTCATCTTATAATTTAAGAATTTCATACAACGTCAAAAGTATTTGCTTTGTACACAAAAATTCAGGTCAAACATTTTGCCAGTTTGAACCTTCGGTGCATATTATAATGGCAACTTTGAATTCTAATATTCAACTTTATGATGGGCTGCAAGCAAAACTATTAACCTTGCTTGCTTAACATTGTTCACTGATTGCTTCAGGATCCTAAAGTATGTTCGTTGCTTAGAGTAGTGTCATCAGTGCCCAGCCGGCGTGGTTGCAGCAATACTCAATAAGGGGAATCGGGGTAGGTTCATCAGAGTGTAGCACCATCCTAAGGACCTAGATTAGCCATTGCGTTTTGTTTCTCAGCGGGAAATAAAGCGAAGTATGAAACTAAAATCACTTGTGGCGGCTTATCAACAGACCGAATTGGTGTAGCCCTTGAAGAATATCTAGTTACTAAGCATAAAGTCGACTATGTAATACTTCTTAGGTCACAGTATTAATTAATTTCAATATGTTTTTGTTCTAGAGTTCTAACAGCATTTCTATTAAAAAACCCATCCCCGATGAGGTGTCCTAACTTGAACTCCGTACAGCGACATATTCTAACAACTTTTATTAAAATATAGCACTATTAGGCTGGTATTAAAATCAATAGATGAAGCTACATTTCCGGTAGATAAAATATTTTACCAACTGTCGCTCCCTCTAGCTTTCTCTTGAAGGTCAGCGATCGAAAAAAACGCAAACGAGTTGGTGTAAATTTGGCATACAGACTAAGATCCCTGAGACTGGGGCAAGACCTGCATCTAAACATTCGTGTTTGTGCTGTCATTCGCTTACCCCTCTCTTGAGTATCTTGCAACTATGCTTTCTTGAATGCAGTTTTGTTCATTGTACCGAACTTTTGAGATGTTTGACAAACTCTTTAAACTACAACACTCTCAGCAATTGTGAACGAGATTTCATTCATTACACGGTATCGCATTTCGTGATTTATTAATGGATACTACTATAATCGTCAATGTAAACGCTCAAAAAGGAAAGAGAACTAAGTAAAAGCAGCCATTCAATACGCGGTCTGCGAACCCCACTTGACAGGCTTCATTTTTACCCAACGTCGTTGTTGGTGTAGTATTCAATATAGCGGTAGTGTAGGAGGGCTGGTAACCCCTGACCGTGTCATCATCAGGAAGTAAAGACCGGAGCAGAACGCAGCAAGTAGCGCGACGTGAGTGACCGTTTTTCTGGTGTGAGTGTGAGTGTGAGGGTGAGTGAGTCTACTTTAGCGCTTCTCCTACAATGAATATCCAACTCGCCCAAGCATCCATTCTCAGAAGCAAGCGATGACATTGCTGGTTCTGAGAAAAAGAACGAAAGAGAGGGCGAAAAAAAAGCCGAAAAAGAAAGCAGTCGATAGGTTGGGCGTGTTCTTTTTACCGTAACGACTTATAGTTGTTCGAGCGTTTGTCAACGTTATTTTTCTCTATACAGTGCACGAAACCGGCTTTATTCACGAAGTACCTAGAATCACTTTGTACACACAGAACAAAGTAATGTGTTCTTCCTTTTTACTCTATATTAAAGCATCGCCAGTGATCTGGAACCATCGGGACCACCGATGTGACCCCCGATGTCTGGGTCTGGCGGTCGTTCCGAAGCGGCGACCGTGCAGGGGAACTTTCCCTCCAGATTATTATATTAGCTATATGGTCAGCATTGAGGAGTATATGTTTTAGAATAATATGGCTTAGTAAGCCTAGAAATTGTTTTTCTTTGATTTCTGAAAAGAGAAGTACGCGCTGTGGACCTGATCAAATCACAGGACTATTGTCTGCTTTCAGTGAAAAAAGATATATAAAAGAACGCAAAAGGGGATTGTAGTTTTTAAGTACTCATTGTACCATGTGGACTTCGGCAGTTACTGTGTAATTGCCTTATTTCTTGCAGTTCCAGGGAAACATAAACGCACTAAATTAAAAACTATCCTGGGATGATACCATATAGATGTACTAAGGAGCCCTTGATGCGAGAGGGTGAACATCACAAAAACCAAAAGAACTCACCGTTCTTGGTTACGTGCTTTCCAAGTTGGAGGCCAAGAGTGATGTGAGACATCAATCGCGTCTTTTTATATTAAACCTGAGTATATATGTGCTATATTGGGAGGAAATACAGATGTTATTAGTGGAGCTACGCACAAGAATTTCTTCAGATAGGAAGCGCAGGTGTAAGGGCTAGGCACATCCGCATGACCGATAAGTATCCATTCCAAACCTGCCTGTGTTCAAGCAATGGGAAACTGGAAAAAAAAAACGCAGCTGCAGATATATACTCCAACAAATTAAAAAACCTAAAAGTAAAACTTCGGGAAGAACAAACATCTCCGAACTCACGCAGCTGACTCGGTTTACATGTCTAGTACCGTGCCGCTCTCGATGGTACGATTGTTTTTAGACCCCTTTTGCGGTTTTTCTGTCTTTTTGTCCTACACAGTGTGCACTGCTACCTTTGCCCTTGAGTATCACGTTCACGAGCTCATATATTTTAATACATAATTAAATAATGTCATATATGTTTCGTATCAAACACTATTTGCTAAACAAGACACTCCTGTTTTGTTTACTTATTCACAGAGCTATGCAAGCTTAGTCTCAGATCAAGCAATCGCTTCTTTCTAAACTTGTGTTTTATTAACATTTTGATTAGGTCATTGAAGCAGACACAACCTCTCATAATCGCATCATGGCACTGTAACGTGACAGTACTCCTTATTAAAAAAAGACATTTTAAATACAAATATTTTCTATTGACCTTTCCTGTAGCGACTGTCGCACTCAGACTGAACATTTTTCTCGTCTTCCTGAAAGTATACCTTGCGGTTTAAAACCTGTTCTTCACCACTGTCTTTCCAAATAACCACGTCTTAAATACTTTCTAACGCAAAATTTAGTTAGTTGAGAATATTGTGAATTAGGTGGCACAAGGAATGTTAAAAATAAAATTAAAGCATTATGAGCTCTAGTATTCCATTTCTTGTTGTTTGTAGTAAGTAATGTAAATGATTACTCAAAATGCATATTCAAGCATAAACAAATTACAACTTTGACTTCCTGATTTTATCTTTCTTGTTCATCATGCCAATAGCAGACTAGTGTGTGACACGTTACATTAAAGTTTTATTTCATTACTTTGCTCGGTAAAACGTGAATGTCTTTGTTTTTCCAAGAAAAGGCACGAGTACAGTGTTTTTCTTCTTTTTTATTCGACTAACAAGTGAGAGCACTTCGTTACAAAAAAAGAAGAAAAAAATAACGGACACCACGTTAAATTGATTTTCGCCCTAACTCACGCTGTAAGTTGAAACAATTTGACGTCCAGTCGAAAGAAAGTTGTACAGAATCTATCCACGTTTTTCGCTGAATTTATCTGCTCTCCTTTGTTCTGGGTGGTTTCTGTTGGAATTAGTAAATTCAAACGCGTTTGAATGTATCTAAGGTTTTTTTTTTGCATTTTTACCATACCTAATTTCAGTACATCTAGAGCATTCCACACTTGAATGTAAGAATCGCTAGCATCTTCCGAATAAATTATTGTTTTCTATTGTACTCCTAGATGTTTCTATAATGTATATGAATGTGTTTTGAATGATTTGGTTTTGGTATTGACCTCTACTGTTACTTAGATTGCGTATATAATCCTTATTTGTATCCAAAGAACTATATGGACCCTGAATACTGCCTTTGTATTTTTAAACGTAGGTTCAATGTATACGTTATTTTTATATTTAAAACGTTGTCTGCTCATGTGCCCGTTGTAAATCAAAATGGGCCAAGGGACTGCCAGGCACCTTAGCCTCTTGCCCGAGGCTATTTCTGCGTTACTGTACGGTAGACAAAATAAAAGGGGGGTCAAAGTTGTTCGGAAGATTCAAATTATTCTAAGTGTCTACATCGCGTCTAAGTGCCTAGTTTTCTCAGGAATACTTACAATGTCCCAATTAGGTGACGAGCTACTGTTCTGTCCAACAAAGACAAGTCGGCTCTCATGAAGATTCAACGACTGTAAAATGAAACGTAATGAGAGCTCGCGGCATGCACGTTCGCCTGCTCCTTGCGTTACCTCGCACGTTCGTTTACCCGCCGGATGCGTCAACGTGCTTTCGTATCCTCCCAACCTCAACCGACGACGGCGCGCGCTTCGCTGCCTCGTCATCGCGAGTTCCCAGAGCGTTTCCTATATGTCGCCTTTTCATCGGCGTGTTGCCTTTTCTTGCTCTCTTACGCACCAAAGACGTGTTTTTGGACACTTGGTCGCCGTATACACCCACACGCGGTTATGAAGTCACGCCTCTCCGGTGGCGCTGCTGTCGGCACGGTACATTCGTAGACGCACCACTTGTGGCAAATTTGGTTTCTGCGCAAGCGCAGTGGCCACACGCGGTGTGGCAAAACAAGCACTTGTTTGTAAACAGCGTGTTGGTCCATGTGCGGGGAGCGAGTCGTCTACTTCTCGCGCAGGAATTGCGGCAACGTCAGAACGACGCCGGGTTATGATTGGTTTCCATTGAAAGGATAGTGGGTAGACCTCTATGGCATATGTCTCAAAATCTATCCCTATTTTTTCAATCAGACAATAAGAGCTTGTCGTTCTGACAACATCGCAACCCCTGTGCAAGTAGCAGACGAAAGTGCGCTCAGCATAAACATCTTGACGAATTCACCGCGCTCGAAGTTCCTCCTGGCCTTGATGGAGGGCCAGGAATAGGTGACATTCACTTGACGTCACTCGCTAGGTTCGCTGGCATCGCCCACCACGGTCGCCATCGGTCGCCATCTTCGAGGTCTCTTGCTATCGCGAATGCCATCTGGACGGACCTTTTGAGCGTGGTTTAGCAGTATTTTACAACTTTAAAGGATCTTTTAGACCGAAACTAGGGGTCCTTCTTATACTTTGGTGCTTTCGAAGGGCTATGGGAGTATTTTTGTGTGTTTTAGTTCGTTTTTGTCGCTATCGGACTCGTTTACCGCGGCCGCGTTGCTCCCTCGGCTCCATGAAGCGCTCCGTGTCGCCCGCCGTGCCGACGGCGGTAGTTCTTGCAAGAACTAATTTTTCTACATTGGTGCTTTTGTAGCACGGTGTGATTACTCTTTGTTTTGTCTTGCTAGTTTCTTTATTTGCTTTTCTCTAGCGGATTTTCTGTACTACGGCCGTGTAACCGTGTTGCTCCATCGCCGCTGTGTCGTACATACGTCGTGCCTTCGGTGTTCGTTCCTGTGCAGAAACATACCGTGCGGCTCACACAGTGCGCAGCTTATGAAAAATGCGGCGCACTTTTCATTAGCCCAAGCGATTTAAAAAGCGCATGTAAGCGATTTGGCGAGCGGGAAGACAAGCGACGGCGGCCCACTTCGGTGCCGCTCGGTCACTCGCGCGACGAGGCAAACCGCATGAAAGCGACGGGAGCACACGACCAAGGCGATGAGCGCTAAGTTTTCTAGAAATCCCAAAGCCGAGCTACGCGACGAGTGACAGCGAAGGGTGAACCGCATGTAGGCGATTTAACGAGCGATGGTGACAGCGACGGGAGTCGGCGACGAGCGACGGAGATTTCTCGCGGTCGGTCGGTAACACGTCGCTCGGTTTTTGGATTTCTAGAGAGGGTCGCTTATCGCCTTGGTCGCCTGCTCCCGTCGCTTTCATGCGGTTTGCCACGTCGCGCGAGTTACCGAGCGACATCGAAGCGGGTCGTCGTCGCTTGTCTCGTCGCTATCGCTCGTCTCGTCCCGTCGCTCGCCAAATTGCTTACATGCGGTTCAGCCTTTACACACGGTACTCGGCGGCAACAAGGAAAACGGCCTGCCCCCGAGACCAACTTTTCTTCTCTCTTCTTTTGAACGAAGCTTCAACGATATGAAATTAGCACACACTAGCAGCGGACGACCGCGTAGCGTACCGAAGCCAGTCAAACCGAGACCTCGAAGATGGCGGATCGACGGTGGCGCTCCCTGGCAAAATCGAACCTGCAGGCTCAGTGAATACCACCTATACGCGAAAACTAAGAAATCTACTTTCCTTTATAAAAAGGGGTTAAAAAGAAGAACCTAGATACGGTGTCAATCTGTACTTTGTTTGAGCTTGTAAAAAAGCGCAGCGGGTGCTACGAGCCATCGCAGCCTATGAAGCGCTGGGAAGAAGTCACGTGACCAGGCGCCCCGCGCGTCCCAGCTCCCTATCCGAAAATCGCGTGACACTCATATGGTTTAGAATGGGTATCGATGGCATGACGTAGCGTCCGCTGTGGTTTATCGTGAAAGCTGAAACGGAATGCAGAAGGAGAGGTTGGAACATGCAAATCGGAAAAACAACAAAAGACCGACTGATTCAAATGGTTTTGACGGAAGATCGCGCGTATACTGATAACCATCTGATAATCGTCCTGTTTACCCAGTCGCTACAAAATTATAGTGTAATTTCACTTATTACGCAGTAATGTTTTAAAGCTGGAGAGCAAAGCGGTGTAATTATGACGAGACCCGTGTATAGATCGTGAAACGCACGACCTAAAGATTGTTTTGCTGATATTGCTGGTTTGTTTTTCTTTTTCTAGCAGGGTTGAAAGACTGTTGTCTAAACAAACAGTCCAAAGAAATGTGAGCAGTGCTGCAGCAATTAAGATAATACCAGTTAATGTGGGACAATAGCCTGTAAGTAAACTTTAAGAAGATCCATTGTTTGTTTGTTTTCTTTCGAGGACTGTTTTTGCGCGGTGAAACGTTTTGCCTCCCAGACTGATTCTAGTAGTGGTAATCAATAAAAATATTGTAATTGTTTTTCAATTAGTAATACTAGTTCCTTAGAAAATAAGTAAACGAAGCATAAGCTGATTCAAAATGAATAAGCTCTAGGTCACAAAATCAACACCAGAAAAGACGAGGTGATATTTCACGGGAAAGCTCTTTACTACTCGATACAGGAACAGGACTGTTAGGACTAAGACGGATAAGGCTAAATTTTATGAGAGACACATGTCTGTCGTATGCCATTGTGATAGGGGCACACTGAAACATGTGGTTTTGAAGTGCACGGGGTTTTGTATTGTTTCGTCTAATAGCGGGACGCGATGAACTATGTATCA